AGATGTTTCATTCCACATCCATGCTTATAACATTTCTTAGATAACTTAAATTACACTTACCTTAGTATAAAGAGTGTTTTCAATGATGCCACCATCTGCTTGTATACAGCGTAATGACTCCTGCACACAAGACGCGGTAATGCTTGCCGCGCGGCGGAAGTTCGCGCGACAGCCAATCAATATGCTGCTTTCTGTAATAACTTACTAGTTCTTATGGAAAAGCAACATATTGATTGGCTGTCGCGCGGATTTCCGCCGCGTGGCAAGCATTACCGCGCCCTGTGTGCAGGAGCCATAAGTAGAAGGTCATTCGCCTCGAAATCGGAAAGCATGATTCACGCGTTACGTTGGTCAAAATACATTAAATTGATTTTTCTCGGCAACCATTGCGAATAAAACACATGTTTATATGAACTTTTTAATTCAGAATTATGTAAAGAATGGTTTCCTGAAGTATTGACCTTCAGTCCTGAATTACCCTGTATATGCAGGTGTATTAATGAAACTGATTCAAGAGCAGGGAGTAGGATTGTATCTAAACAAAAATGAAAAGTCGGGTCAACGTTGATTCAACTTTTCATTTCTGGCTAGGTTATTTTAGAAGGCTTAGTTCGACCGTCTGGGGGTACATACATCTCCCTAGGATCTTTTTCGAACTATTTATTTTTTGGCAAAGTCGTACCATTTCTGTGGTGCGCAATATCTCTTTTCAAATCGTGCAATAGTATTAAGGCAAAGTGCAAGCGGCCTGAAACTATATATTGAAGGAAGAAATTATTTTAGGTTAGAATGGGTGCGTCTCAGGGGTTTTCTGCATTTTCTGCATGTTTTCTGCATATTCTGCGCGTTTTCTGCACATAATAGACATTTTATGCATATTATGCACAGAATTGCCTTTCTGCTGCGCATATTACTCATCCCTGATCACGAGTGTACTTGAATTTAAATCCATTTGAAGTTTTGGCCATTTTTTCGAGATTTCGCCCCACTATGTGCTGCCACGTGTGAGAAAATATACTTTCGAGATGCTATGCACACGTACTGCGAGTAATACGAATTTTACTTAATTTGTATGTTTACCCAATCGCACAAATTTACACAAAATTATTCTAAAGGTGAGAAGATGAGAAGATCCCTATATCCTAAGAATAGCCAGAACATTCTCTGAAGATTTTGAGTGTGTTCCGTTTCCACGCATGATGCGCATGAAACGCAGTGTTAGAGTGACAGAGATACGATAAAAGAGAGTGAGATAAAAAGAGAGGGAGAGTTCTCGGGTGAGGTTATCGAACCTAGGTTAGGTTAGTTCTCGAACGCATGAGATCGCATAGACCGCACTACCTCGGAGCTGATGCAGTTCATGCATTCGAGAACTAACCAAACCTAGGTTCGAGAACCTCACCCGAGTGCTCTCCCTCTCATTTTATCTTACTTTCGTATTTCTGTCACTCTAACGCTGCGCTTCACGCGCATTATGCGTGGAAACGAAACGCACCCTTAGTGCTATCTAGTAAGTACCGGTGTGAAGTAGATTCCCAGTAAACAAGAAATCATTAATACAACGTTGCTACAATGATATTGGCTTGTTGTTTATATATATATATATATATATATATATATATATATATATATATATATATATATATATATATA